CAAATTATATTTAGTTTAGACACTGTCTCAAGCAAGGGAGTTCAAGTATCTTGGGGTCTTGTTCACAAGTGAGGGTAGAATGGAGCATGAGATGGATCTGCAGTTTGGTGCAACCCTCACCTATGGTCATGAGCTCTGGGTAGTGACTGAAAGAATGAGATCGCAGATATAAGAGGCCGAAATGAGTTTACTCCGTGGAGTGGCTGGGCTAAGTCTTAGAGATAGGGTGAGGAGTTCAGACATCCTGAAAGAGCTCGGAGTAGAGCCGCTGCTCCTTTGCGTCGAAAGGAGTCAGTTGAGGTGGTTCAGGCATCTGATCTGAGAACACGATGGAGGGATTATATATCTCATTTGGCCTGGGAACGCCTTGTGGTCCCCCAGGAGGAGCTGGAAAGCGTTGCTGGGAAGAGGGATGTCTGGAGTGCTTTGCTTGGCCTGCTGCCCCCGAGAACCGGCCCCGGATAAACGAGTGAAAATGGATGGATGGATGGATGGATGGATGGGGATACTCCACATTGTATTGCATGTGTAATTCATATAGACAGCAGTGATTTCATTTCATGCATTTTGGTATAGTATACTGTATAGCTGGACTTGGTTGTGATAAATAATATAAAACAGTAGAAAATGGGTTTTCAAATTTTGACATTTCTTTGGTGGTGGGGGTAATGTTTACTCCATGGCTCCAGCCTTGAAATAAAAACTAAACCATGTGCATGACAGGGTACAAAGTGAGAAAACAGTTTAAAATCATAGCACATTTAAAAAGTAGCTTTGGAAATATCTCCAACAGCATGATGTGATGATGAATTCAGAGTTTTCTGATGTGGAAAGTGTGCAAATCTCCATCTGCGAGGAACTTTCACTGAACAAATGCAATAATTCTGCCTTTAACAAAACACTGTGGCACCTTGTTCATCTGAGTTTTGCTCACATTTTAGTTCAGTAGCGGTGTGATGGTACATGTTGGAAAGTCGCCTAAACATAATGGATTTTAAAGATCCCTAAGGAGCCCAAAGGAAGGTAGAGCGGTTGCAGTATAGCTGTTTGATCTCCCATGTTTGTTCAGTGTCCCAGTAGTAACCAGTGGGAGCTTAAAATAGACAGTACAGTAGCTGTGAAAGCGGTGAGAGCATGATCAGAATATTAGAGGTATGGAATGGAAAAAACCTTTTGGACCTGACTTGGCATTGAAAAGTGAGCTATTGAATTGGTGAATGCATCGGTACAGAAAGCCGTAAAAGCAACACCTGGGAAATATGCCTCTTAAAACCACTTTGCTCTGTAAAACAGCCCCATAACGACATCTCAGAGGGTAATTGGTAAAGATTTTTGAAACCTGCTGCGAAGCCAGGCCACCTGAGATTATTATGAAGACCTTAAAGTGGTGCCATTTTCGGTGGCAGTGCAATTGTCCTCCCAAACATACAGCTTCATTGTCAAATCATCAAAATCTCCCTCCTCCCCACTACCAGCTGCCATTACCGGGTGCCCACACCTTCACACTCAATGCTTTTCCTCTCAAATCCAAAAAGCTTTGATCAGTTTCCTGGCATTATTTTTGCTTCTTTCTAGTGCAAAGAAATATTGACTCAAAAGCCTTTGCCTCCCCGCGGTGCCTGAAGAAAGTTACTGTAATGACATGAAAAGCAGAGCAGCACCATTAACACCAATACCTGCTCAGCTGGCAGCGTCTCCTACCTGTTGTTAAATGGCTTAATTGGATCTGAGCTTGGGGATGGGGGTGGGGGGGGCTTTTTCTGGTCTTGGTGTGGTGGAGTAAAATGTTTCCCCTGTGAGAATATTGTTAACACTGTTGTTTGGCTTTGTTGGCATCCTCATGGGTTCGAACATAACTGAGTGTATCAGCATCACATCAGCACAGTGAGCCTCCAGAGCCGTCCCAAAAATGAGCATTATCTTATCTCTCTCTCCCCATCCCGCTTCAAACGAGTCTGTTATTCATTAAGAGCGCCACGTTTAAGTATCCTCACTATAGCCTGCACAATATATAATGTATAGCTTGTATGAATGATATATTCTTTGGTCCCTGGTTTGGATTCAAGTGGAGAATCAATTAGTAAGTGCAGCCTTGAAAAACAGATCCACTCATTCATCCAATGCGCCACTGGAAATAGATTCTATCTTGTGGTTTCAAAGAGCTTTCGCAGATAAAGTGAATGCATTGTGGGAATAAAGGGACTGAAGTTGGATGGTAAAGGCCCGCAGATGGCTGAACGTTAAAACTGCATGGTTTCTGTGACGTTCACACTTTCTCTGCAAGAATTTCAATTACTGTTGCAATTAGCAGAGAAATGTGTCGGGATCATTAGTGTCCGCGTGTCTTGAAAATCACACAGAATGTCAGAGTTATGCAGGAAATGCAATATACAGGCTGCCGAGGAGTTGTGTAGATAAACAAGCACGTTGTCATGTCCTTTTTACCCGTTACTGTAAATTAACAATGTTGTGACCAGACTAATAAGGAGACTAATACACGGCACACAAACAACTAGTCATAAAGGAAGTGCTTATTCTCAGTAAGCCCAAAATTAAAATCACCATAATATTCTCACATTCATTAGGGCAGGAAGTGCATTTTTACAAAGCAAAAGTACTAAAAAAATATTACTTTAGTAAACGTTTTAATGTATTATTAACAAAATGCCTTTAAAAGGTCCAGTGTGTAAGATTTAGGGGGGGTTAGTGCCATCTAGTGGTGAGGATTGCAGATTGCAATCAGCTGAAACTTCTCCCAGTTTAAATTCCTTCAGTGTTGATTATTCAGGAGGATTTTACTTGGAGCTGAATTATATGCAGAGATCTCTTCCTCTCCAAAACAGAAGGACCCGCTGATTTAAACCAATACAACACTGAATAAAGCAGTTTTACGTTGAAGAAAATCAGTCATTTTCCAATGCTCTCATGTACTGCTCAACACATTCTCACTCTGACCACGTCACCTATTGCCGTTTGGTCATGGACTTTCCACGTCCAGATATGACGACCCAAACGTTGGTTGTCAACGTTCTGGGGCACCGTGCCAAGTTCTGCCTGTTACATGCATTGTCTTCGTCAGTACAACACTGCAAATTGACATTTTTTTTCCTTCAACAACAAATGCACGTGGTTAGGTTTAGGAAAGAAGAACAGGGTTTAGCTTTAGAATCTTACGGGACGCAAACACCACTTTCTTGGGTGAAAGTCGGTGTTTGTTGGACCCATCCACCACCAATCCCACCCGCCCCAGTTGGACTTTCTTCCTTGTCCCACCACGTTTTCCTCTGACACTGCACCGTTACACTATAACGGCAACCGGCCACTTATCATGCTGACGTTAAAGGACGCCTTTTTTCGTTGGTTTCTGATGCTGCAAGTCACTGCCCAAGCGCTGGATTTAGACGACTTTGGAGTGAGATGAAGCTCTGCTGCTAACTATGGCAGCACGAAAACCCAGATTACCCTATCTAGTATTTGGTTTGTCCGTTCTGGGCTACTGTAGAAACATGGCAATGCAACATGGCAATCTCCATAAACAAGAACCCACTCCCTATGTAGACACAAACGACTCATTCTAAGGTGATTATATTCAATTTCTGCCAATTTCTGCCTAAATCCTACAAACTGGCCCTTTACGAGAAACGTAAAAGTACTCCATGCAGAATAATGATGCCTTTGACATTATTATATCAACCAATCATTAGTTTATAATTAGCATTAAGTTGTTGAGGGTTTTTGAAGTTACAACTAACTAAATACATCTAATTATACTTTCTCCAAAAATGTAACTGAGTTAAAGTACACATAAAACCACAGGTTCATAGGAGTTCCTCAATATTAACATGTACATTGAAACATGAAAGTCGCAGAGGAGTTTTATTTTGACAAAATTAAACACATTTCCACCATGAATCAATGCAGGAAAGGCAAAATTGAGGCATAAAATCCACCAGAATGCAGAAAATTAAGTATTTGACATTCAAAATTCGCTGGGGCAGCACCCCAAAACCCCAATTTCAAATGTGTTCCCACCCAGTGTTGAAATGAAACCTACATCCTTCCATAAAACAGTAGTACAAGTACCTCAAATTGGTGCTAAGTAGTGCTCCAGTGACTGTAGGCTGGTTAGATACAGTCTCCCACTGCTGCACACAGATGATGTTCCTGGTGTTTTAAAATCTCTTATAGACACTATTTTGATATCATTACAGTAATTCTGTTGTATACATGTTTTTTTCAGGACCTAACGATGCTATCCTCCACCAGGGAGCTCCTCTAAGGATTTCAGCCTGTAAATCTGAGTCGCATCGATGGCAGAACTTAATCTGGCTTTAGGTTAGCTCTAACTCCATCTGCTGCACCATCGAGGCCATAAACAACAAAGATGACCCCCAATTTTTTTTTTTCCTCTGCAAACCATCAACCAAAATAATTAATGGCCATCCCCGGCGCAAGAGCCTGTAATACACTGCCAAATGAGTCAGGCGCAGAGCTGAGGATGAAAAACAAAAGTATAATCCCTCTGCTGCTAACGGTGTCACTCAAGGATTAGCGTGCCAAGGAAAAAAAAATAACACACTAAGTACTACGCGGATAAATTAAAAGCTGTGGGCAACGTGGCGTGTCTCCAATCGTTTGAGGAAACATTGATTGTGTTACAATGGGAAGTGTTTGTGCCTCAGTGTGAGCGCCCCTGACACAATAACAGCAACTTCAGATATCCTGATATCACTTGATTTGAGCCTCCGGGACCTGGCGACAAGTAAATTGAAATGGTAAAAGCTCGAGGCGGCAGATTGGGAGATATTTTCTGAGTCAAGGAGAGTGACCTGCTGGATTATTAGACAAGATTTGTGGCGCCTCGCCGATGATGAGGGTTAAGCTTGCTGTCTGATAGCGAGTCAGACACAGAGAGGGACTTTTGGTGGATGGAGCTGAGCTCGGATGGGCTTTAACAATTAAACACACAACAAGCAAAAGACATAAATATATTTATTTACCTGTGTGTCCAGACGTAAACCATCCAGGGGGATAATCCAAGCGAGATTAGCGGGGAGCGGAAGGAAGCAGCACTTCTCAACAAACTATTATTAATAATAATCTCGAGCTCCGGTCAAATCCACGGCTGCTGTGTTTGTGTGTGTGTGTGTGTGTGGAGTAATTTCCGATGTGTAGACACAGAGATGTCCTCAAGAGAAGTTTGCACCTAGAGGCGGCCAAAGGGGAGGTTGTTAATCCTTTCCCAAAATATCAGCAGTGTAGAGTAGAGCCGATGGAGGACGGAGGCGCGCAGCGGGATGAGGAGTTCAGCACCACGGCACAGTGGACAGCTCTGACGGCGCAGCAGCGATCTCACCTCGGCCGCTCTCGGGTCTCGTGTGCGCCACCGAGGCAGGAGCCACCAGCCCCAACCTCACCTACTGGCTCAGTCCCGACCGGATTTACATACAATCACGCGGGAGGGAGGGAGGAGAGGGAGGGATGAACCAATCACAGATGTCCCGTAGTGTCGGCAGTATATGCAACAAAAGCAGGGCAGACTGACAGACGGAATGTGAAGCGCTCCTGTGCCAACACAAACTGTCCTTGACTAACAGGGAGGAAGAGGATGGAGAGAGGGAGAGGGAGTTGGGTTTCTCTTTATGGCTGCCCCACACACTCACTCACTCACTCGCACGTGTACGCACATACATGCGCGTGCTTCAGTAGTGAAGTAGTGGGGGAAAAAAACTGCTGTATTCACCGTTTTATCCAGAACTACAACACAACACTGTATGTTAACTGTTTGCCCTCCAGGTGGTTATCACAAGGGGATACTTACTGATAAAAATAAAAGTAACATGATTTTCACAACTACATTTTATTCATTTGTTTATTTACTTACTTAACTTCCTTTAAAGACATATTTTGATCATAATATAAGGGAAAACCAGCCTCTAACATGAAGAGTAATAAATTTAGTTATGTTTTCAGGTAAAAATGTTCAGTGTACAATTTTTGATTATTATTAGTATTATTATAAGTATTATAAAGAATTATAAGGTATTAGTAACTTCAAGTTAAGTATTATAGTGACATTACATTTAGTCCTACTTTACATGTTTGACTCTGTATCACTGTATTTGTGTATTTACATTTTATACTACTTTATATTACATTATTATATATTATATTATATATTATTGTTAATCTTTGTTTGATGTATATAAAACATCTGTTTTCATAAGTGTGAATGTCTATCTACCAGCTACATTAAAATGCTGCCTGCTATTACGGGATCAATAATATAATAAACAATAATATAACATAACATAGCATAATATAGTATAATATAATATAACATAACATAATATAATATAACATAGCATAACATGATACATTACAACATGCCATGATATGATATATTATAATATAACATAATAATTTAATATTCTGAAAGAGTTCATCCTTTAAAAAGCATGTTTATACTTTTGATATTTCTATACTTTTATTTAAGTAGGATTTTCTGAATGCAGGACTTTTACTTGTAGCTACAGTGTGGAACCTTACGTGGCGTAATCTAAAAAAAAGACAAAGGCTCCTGTGTGCACAGTTGTTCTCAGGAACGTTACCATTAGCCTCAGACACTGGAAGGTTTAACGCCACCCCAGAGGAGGACAGAATTTGTTGTGTAATTTAGGTGAAGCTGAGAATGAGGTTCATTTCTTGTTTTACTGTCCTGTAGATGAAGACATAAGTATCTTACTACAGTAAGATGCCCTCTATCTATGTTGATTTCTTTTGGTTGGATGATCATGAAAATTTGAGTTTTGATTAAGAAAGGGAACCTTTTTTGTGGCTAGATTTCTTTCTTTGGGATAGAAGGCAGAGTATTCTGTTTCTGGACTGAGCAGTCAAATAACATGTGCTTTGGATTGTTACTGCAGCGTCATTGTATGGGGGCTTGTAAACCCATGATTGTCGGGCACATGTAAGTGTGCATGACACAAATAAAAATCAATCAGTCATGGAGTGGACTATTTTCATATGTCGTATATCTACAGGATCTGAGGTCTTTCTTCACCAGTGTAATTGTTGTCTACGGTGACACATGTGCTCAGTCAATGTGGACTTTTAAGACACCAAAAATGAGTGGTGGAAGTACTCAGATCCTAAAGTGAATGTTGTAACACTACAATGTAAATATACTCCACTACAAGTAAGTCTTACAAACCAGTTTGACTTAAGGAAAAGGTAAAGAAGAATTATAATTGATTATTAATACTGATGCATTACGGCATAAGCAGTATTTCAATATTGAAGCTGGTTGGGGTGGCACTAATTAAAGCAATGTAAAACTACATATTATATATCTTATAAGATTATTGTGTATTTTGTATGTACAATATAAAATCGTAAAGTTACAAAAGCTGTTAAATAACAGAGTGAAAATAAAGATATTTCCTCCTCTTCCTCCTGAAGTTGAAGAATAAAGTGTAGGAAATACAAGAACAAGCACTTTAAAACAGCACTTATGTCACACTCAGGAGTGCAGGGAGCAGAGGAAGGAGCCAGACGCAGACAAAACAGGCAGACTCTTAGTTCAGTGATTTATTGCATGAATGAGCTTACAGGCAGGTGTTTGTAGGCAGGTACAGGTACAGGTGGGCAGAGAGGCAGATGCAGATTAAAGTCCAGGTTCAGGAGCAGACTCACTCGGCTCTTGAAATCACGACTACAATGGCAACCATTATGGAACAAAGGAATTGGGCTGGTATTTATAGTGAGTGACTGATGAGGGAAGTGTGAACAGGTGAACAGGTGATTGATAAAGTCTGGTGAGAAAGTACGAGGGCATCTGGTGGACCGGTAGGGAATAGCAGTAAATGATTTAGAGGAGGTGGACAGAGAGGCAGAGTGTGATGACAACATAATGATAATAAACATCTAACCAGTAGAGATGGAGGACATTTTACTTCAATCATTTTATAGAGAGCAATGAAAATGCACTTTGTTATCAGTCCAAGGTCATTATAGATATCTGAGACCAAACTTCAAACTAAAACTAGGGGTGTGAAATGTACAGTTTACACACAGTTTCTTTCAAAATAAAAGCACTATGTCAATACAACACCTCAAACTGACCTTTTCTTCCTTCAACAACAAAAGCACATGGTTAAATTTAGCCAACGCACGTTAGTGGTTGGGTTTAGAAAAAAACGAACTGGGTTTGGCTTTACAATCTTACAGGAAGTGAACACCAGCGTCCTGGATGAAACCCGGTGGTTGCTGGGTGCATCCACCACTCCTCCTGCCTGCCTTACTTCTGCTGCCTTAGCTTTCGTTATTGTCCCGTCGCGTTTTCTCCTGAAACCACCAGGCGCTGTTGAACAATAATGGCGACCTATAGCGTATCATATCGGTGTGAAAGGGCAGCTTTTTTCGTTGGTGTCTGACGCTGGAAGTCACTGACAAAGCAACGGTTTACATTGACTTCGGAGTGAGCTCAGGTTGCCAGAATTGACAAACCAAACACTGGCTTTAGATTCAGCCATTCGCATTTTTTCCTGTGATGAGCAGAGTCAGAAAAACACTGATTATTTTCATGTGAAACTGCTTTATTCAGTGTTTTTGCTGGTTTAAATCATCTGCCTGTTTGTTTCAAAGAAGAAGAGACCTCTGTGGGTATTTTGGCTCCTGGTAAAAACCTCCTGAACAATGAACACAGAAGGAATTCTAACTGGGAGAAGTTTCAGCTGGCCTAAATCTTACACACTGTTCCTTTAAAAAATAAAAACAAAATAAAAATGAAAACTAGCAATCTATAACTCAGCTTCAGTCTAACCTGACTGACATAACAGAGTCTTTTCTTTACAGTGAGACCACTGAAGCCAGCTGTTTCTATAGCTACTGAACATACTGGAACACACTGTAACTGTGCACGCAGAGATCTTTCACAGTGAATAGAAGTCATACCCCCTTAAGACTGCCTTTAAATAACTTGCATCAGGTCGATACTGTTTATGATGCATGAATGTGTGCTACATTTACAGTGCATCAAAGTTGTCTTTGTCCTATGTGCAAATGCAGCTATTTATGCATTTTATCATTACTTATTCATGTATTTATTTTGGTTTAGCCCATTGTTTCGTGATTTGTTTTCTGAATTTACACATCAAGACACCAGATTCTTGGATTATGCAGTGCACTGCAGGCTGCTCTTTGTGCACTTTAATTCTGTTAGGAATGTATGCCGCTACACTGTTTACTGTATATATGTATTTGTTCCAAATTGCTGTAATGAATATGTTGCAATGCAAGTATTGGAGGTGTGTAGAGGCTTTATTGTGTTTTCTTTCATGCACCTAACTGCATTGTTTCCACACAAAAAATATTTCTGATGTTTTCATGTCACCATCAGAATTGTGTAAGTCAATGACTCATCAGTGTTTCAGTCTTCAACGATGAGTTTAAACTATGATATAACGTAAAACTTAGATGAAGTGTCAAGACATTGTGTTCTGATCCCAACTCGTTAAATACTGCTGCTATATAAGTGGACATAAACATCAAAATGTGACACACTAGGTACCTTCCTGCATCAGTTTTGTACATTCAGGGACACCATGTTATTTTACACTTGTTACATGCATTGTGCCCTTTTAAAATACTCTTCTGTTTTCACAGGAATGGTACAGTTTCTGCTTGATACAAGCTTACAGTCTTTTTAAAAATAAACTTAAAAAATAGGTAAAACACTTCGTTTTAACGTTCATTTCCTGAAGTTTAGAAAACAAAAACGTGGTTAGGTTTAGAAAAAACATTGCTTGGCTGAAAAAAAAGTATGGTTGTCCCTATGTAATGTACCATTGCGTAACATGAGTCATGTGACACGTGACTGCTGTAGCATGCTACACATACTTGCACACTACTACAAATTTGTCCACTGACTTTTGGTTTCACATGGGAAGTGAACAACAGGCTCCTGGGTGAAAGCTTGACCAGTCAACCTCCACTCCCACCCACCCTACACAGACTTTCTTGCTCTTTACACTACTGTAGTTGCTGGTAGAGTTACAAACTGTCGCCGGCTGGTGAATTTCATAACACCACGAAAGGTTCCTTCATGTGTTGATGTTTGACATGGAGGTCCACTGACAAAGCGTTGGCATAAGACAAGTTCAAGTAATGCCCGCTGCGTATCATACTGCTGCAAAAGGTGCCTCTGTGGGTTGGTATCTGATGCTGAGATCACTGACAGAGCAGCAATAATTGGTGAGTAGAGAATGAGAAAATGGAAATGTATCAGAGAAACACTGCATATCCTGTAAACACAACAGAAGTCCTCCAGGCCTCTATGGGGAGCTCTGAGAGGAGCAGCTTGATTTTTGAACCAGAGAGAGTGATCAAATGAGGGTGTTATATTTTAAGCGGGAAGACAAGTGGTGAAAAGAGACAACAACAAAAGCTACATATTCTTTTTTTATATTTGGCCTTAGTTTTTACAATGTTATAAAGAAGCAACAGATTAATGTAAATCTGTTTTGGATGTTTGTATGTGGTTTTGGATGCAGCCAGCTCTCCTGATGGAAATGTTTTGGGCTGCTGTACCAT